TACTTATCATGACAAAAGCCACTGTTGATGAGTTAGTTCTTAATAGGTTAATACATCGAATTCAATAACCTCCAAATACCCTTGTCATTCCGCAGGTGGGTTCATGTATGAGAACTGTTGAGAAGTTTCATTTCCTGATTTTCAAAAGCTCTTAAATTAAGATCAGTCAATGGTTTAACCTATGAAATTCAACAATCTTTACAAAATCTTTTAGAAATATATTTATGCTAGTCTGTACCGTTATCAGCCTTCTTTATTAAATCAGATTATTGAATTTAATCACTTAGCAATCTATCAATATATCTATTGAATTTCATTTATATGAATTAAAATCAAATTACTATGAGTTAATAAACATGACAGAAACTTTCAAAACTATCACTTAGTTACCGGAGTTAGACATGTACGCTTTATCAATATCAATTATTATTATTATTATTGTAAACGGTTGTTTGTTTGTTTTTTAAATCTATAAAAATATTAAAATATGGTATTCATTATTTCTAAAAATAAAAAAAACTGTTTGTTACTTTGATGAATTACAAACAAATTTTTAAAAAAAAAGAAAAAGAGGAAATCGGAAGACAGATGTTGCGAAAATTGTCCCCCATATCAATAACAATGATAAGAATAATAATAATAAATTATCGGTTGATTACATATGTATATTAATCATCAATAAAAAAATGGTTAGTTCCCAAAATATTAGGATAAAATAAACAGTAATGTAAATATTATAGAAGAAATAACAGTACTGACCTAAAAGTTTTGTGTTCAAACCCCAGGTGAAATCATGGACAACACAGCTAGTAAATTCAATGCCAAGGTGATACATCTACTCAGTGCTACCAGATTTTCAGAGATCGTCCAACTATGATGTTTCCGCGATGTTAACCATAAAATTCAATAGTTTTTGTAAGGTATACGTGCTAATAATAATAATCATTTGCTCGTTAGCGACTAATTTTTTTTTAAAAAAGTCCTCACAGTTCTAGTAACAAGCTATTACCAATGAAGCTCTACTATTTCGAGTGTCAGACAGCTACACATGAGTAACGGTGGAAGGTGGCTATGTAAAACATCGATTGATTGAAATATATTAGCCATTTGATATGGACTCATATGTCGAAAGATTTAATCCGCTCACCAGTATCCTAGGATCATGGGTTCAACCCCTGGTAGGACCGTGAGTGTCCACTGTTGAGGAGTCCCACACTAGGATAAAAAAGCTCTTCAGTAACACTTGGTCTTCAACAGTTATTTAGCTAAGATCAGTTATTGGTAAGATACCAATGTTAAGAGTATACAATTTATGGTGCAGTGTAATTTAGGGAATTCTCTCTCCCCAGTAAAAAAAACAAATATTATTATGCAATATATTCATCAAATATTAAGATTATTTGTACTTCTAGCTAGTCATGAGTGTTTTTGAGTGCAAATTATTGTTTGTTTATTCTCAAAACAAATTTAGAGTAAATCATTTTCATGTTTGAAGTGATAATAAGAGAAATCATGTTCCTCAACTAAATTGTCTCATTATAAAGGTTTTACTGATCTTTTTGAAGAATTAGTCGAAAAAATGCAGTATTATTTGACTTATATATATGCGACAATATCGCGTATACCAATGTAACATGAAGAATAAAATTATTATGTTGTGTAATTTGTTGTTTTAGTCCACCTACATAAAGATTGAATTGGTGAGACTATGATTTATGGACGACCTCAGAGTGAGTCTATAATGACCCTGAGAATGTCCACCTACTCAGTAAGACTAAACGAGGGTTTTAAAACGGTGCAAGGAATTAGAATTATGATTTATGATTGATGGTTAGGGTTTGGAATCAGATTGAAGGTTTTCGTCATGAAATGACATCACCTGAAATGACAAAATGCTATTTAGGCAAATGGATGAATGAATTTCGCGCTGGAATCCAAGATCTGTTATCTTAAGTCTGATTGGTTCGTCCACAAATTATAGTCTCTCTGGCTAAATTTATTCAGCACTTATATAAAATCTTGGTATATGCAACTTATTAATTTTAATAGTTTTATGTTTCATCAATTACAATAAAATGTTGTGAAAATACTATTTCACGGTTGGTACACAAAGAATACGAACAATTTCATTTATCTGAACATTTCTGAAATGATTTGTTATCAGAGTAGAACAATGAAAGCGGATAATATTATTAATTTTGGAAAATACCCAATATCTCACACCAGCACTTTCGATAGGCTTAAGGTGACCAACAAAATCAACTAAAGTTTAGAAAACAACATGAACTAGCACTATAACAAGTAATTTGGTGCTTCCATCCACTGTGTAATATATGTAACTACAGTGTAAATCTAGGAAATATTTAGTCTATGTCACATCTGATTTCATCTACTGTTACACGTAGAGCTTTGAAATCACTTATATTTAGTTATATCACTTACATTCAGTTTTTTAATATGATAAATAACAAGCGGGTAAGTTCATACTTCCAGAGACCAAATCTACCATTACTATTCATAATATGATAATTATTAACTTTTAACTTCTGTCACGAGCGAGTAACCGTAAAAATGAGATTAAGTCATTGTATTTATTTTCGAAGACGCCAATCAGTTCAATGAAAATTTGCTGGCCAAACAATCTGTTCTCTATTTATTACTATGATATCAACTAATGAACTTCCATACACTTGATTTCAGCACTAAACTTTATTAAAATAGCATTCATTGACAACACTATTTACTATTATTATTACTAAAAGCTTCATGGTGAATATTCACTTATATGAAAAGTGAATTTCTTATAGATATTAATGTCAAGGTTGAACATGATAGTTTCACATAAATTAAGCAATGGATAGAAAGTTAATAATATTGTATTTCTGACGTTCCGTGACTTAATGTATGCCATTTCTTTAGAGTAAATTAATAACCGGATAGTATAATAGTACTATTTAAACTTGCGTTAATTTAATTTGTTTATTTACTCTGAAGAAGTAGATTACATTAAGTCACGAAACACCAGAAGTACAATTTTTCTACTCATTGAGACATAACAAAAATACATTTATTATTAATGAGATCCTTATATGTAAACTAATTATTTCTTACTTCAATAAATAATCAATTTGTCAATGAACCATAACTATATTCAAGACATCTACTTAAAGCAAACTTAACGCTGTCAAAAGAATATAACTAGGCACTATGAAATCCCAATACATACTTCTGTTTGTAATAAATTTCATTGAAAAATTCCATTTGACAATGGTATCAATTCACAATAGCAATTTTACATTTTTCCGGGTTACTCAAAAAGCAAATCAAAGGTTGTACATTGAATGAAACTGTAGGGGAATTAAAATAATTCATTCTACATTTCTTTTCGTTGTACGTAGACAAAGATGATTGAAACTATTCATTTATCTATTTTTAAATTCTGTATATAGTAATTGTAGTGTTTAATGTAGTGATGAATTACATGGTAAACACAGCAAAACAGTCATAAATTGCTTAGAATATATTACTTTGTAAGAATTATTGTCAGTTTAATGAATTTTCAATGTTCTTTAACTTCAAGTCGTACGTGAATTGCTAACAATATTATCAATATTAAAATTATAAACACCATAATGTTCACTACTTATTTACAATAATAGCTTAAACAATTAATTAATGTCAATGTTGGATTGTGGAGATTAATGAATTTCATTGAGTTTACAAACCGATCTAAACTAGACCACCATTGAAAACCTAGAAGCATTGAACGACTGTTTCTTTTTAGTATGGGACTCCTTAGCAGAGCTCACAAATGTCCCAGACCGTCCAGTGCTTTCAGATTTTCAATGGTGGTCTAGCTTAAATCGGTTCACAAATTCAATGGAATTGATTATTGTTCAAAATTGGTACTAATGACACTTTTTGAACAGATCATGAGGGTTGGCTAACGAATTGGAGATGATATATATATTTGTTCAGTAGTGAAATTTACAGTAAACATCTTTTTTAAACAAATATATTGAGGATGGATTCATAGACAGAACCGAAACATCTAGAAGAGATCTAAACAGAAACCTAACTAATATAATTTAGTTCGAGGAATTCCAAATAATAATTCTGATAGTGCGCATGATTTATTGTTAAGTTCATGAGAGCAAAAGTCACAAAAAAGTTTCATAAAATTAACTTCACTAATTTATGGAATGTCGTAATTTGTCAGGTAGACTAACACATGGTCTTTTTTCAGTATTAACTTTAATTAAATTAAAAAGTGAATGGATGGTAAGCTTCTGAAGTACGCCCGTTCTTCCACAATAACATTCCTTATTCTAATTTAAACTTCTTCAGATCTTCCTATCCATTATCCCCAGGCTGGATCAAATCTAAATGATTCAGATTCTACTAGGACTACACTATCCCAGTGTAGTCAACTCTTGACATATACGATAATAATACCGACTGATTAATGCATCACATCCGATGAGCCTTAACTTTGTTATTCATGACTTTTTTCTAGGACTTCAGGAATAAGTTATACAATCAGTCTACTAACAAGTACTTCATTATTAACGAGATAGAAGGTTTTTTAATGATTATCGCAATGTTTGAAGATTATCGTCCTTTATCCTAAACTGAGTGAAGTTGGGAATGTAAATCTCTGTAGGATGTATTATCCGAGTGCAAAGGTCTAATCGGGGAAGCATTTACTGTCCTTTTGGTCAACATCATCAGCACAAACTTCAGACAGAAAATTGCTATCCGAGGTTTATCCTAATGATGTTACCTAAAAAGACAATGAAAGCCTCATTGGATAAACCACCTAACTTACAAAGTAAAGCACCAATAAGAATAGGTCACTGAATTTCAGCCTGGTGGCCAAAATATCATTTGATCAAGTGGTCACTCAACCGAATGGTTATTTCTTTCCATTTAGCCTGAACAAATATATAAATTTAATAATTATTATTACAATTTCATATGAAATGTAATTTATAACTCACTCTGCTTTCTCTAAATTCATTATCATGTGTCATTACACAAAAGAAACAGTAGAAAAGTGAACTGATGATCAAAATAATGTGTCCATTTTGTTTTCTTTGTTGTCTATGCTGAAACAGATTACTTTCCATTATTGTTATTATCATTATCATTATTATTATTATTATTATTAATATCAATTGTTTTCAGTGTTCTCTGTTAAATGTTCTTTGTAATGATGTATAGATAATGAATACCACCTAAGTGAATTGTTCTTCAAACATCAGTAGTATTTATAATGATTTTAGGAAGCAGAAGGAAATAAAAACAACTATTTGAATATAGTAAATTACTTAATTATATGATTAATTTCACCAATTAAATGAGTAATTCATTTATAATAATCTGTTGTTCAATTTTCCTTGGAAAATAAATACGACAACAGCACACAAATAAATAAGGAATAAACATTGTCTAAGTGTAATATCTATCTATATATGATGAAAGGGAAGTCTTTTTTTAAAAATTCCTTGTGGCACTTTTAAAACATCAGTTTTATTTGCTTATGGATGTATGTTAATCAGTATGTAGTGTAAGTATGCAAGTAATTGTACATTGTCTGTTTGTGTATGTGTGTGTGCATGTGCCTGGGTGTATAATACAACGTCGAAAATGTTTCAATCTCGAAAAAAAAGATTATTCTCCATTTCATTTGTTTCTATGTTTTATTCATTTCAGTTCGTGTTCTATACGGACTACTCCGGCTACTGTCATAATGAGATTTTGCATAATGTGAACATCAACATCATCATAACAAAATATTGTGACGTATATTATTATAATATTCATAATAATACGACTGGTACACATTTTTCGAGACATATGTGCAGTTGTACAAGACGTAAAAAATGATCAATCATGCCCTCATTTCGCTCTTTCGCTTGTTGTCGCTTAATTTTCTTTATATGTATAAAAAGAGGAAATTTAGTTGAATAAAAAAAGACAAAACGAATGTGAATGGTGTCTCTTTCTGATAAATTTTACAGCCACCTTTAATGCTGCACAATTGTTTATTCGAATATACCGATCGGTAGACGTTCATTTGTACATGTGCCCCGTATATATGTGCATGTAAACGAAATATGTGCACAATAATTATGTTGAATAAGAAAATGTAGATTCAGTTGACCAATCCTGAATTTCACTCGACACTTGTTTGTTTCTTTTTTGTTCTAAATAATGAACCAATTAGTCAAGAGTAATTGAAGTCTAAGAAAACAAGACGATGGAGAAGATATAGTATATAACAAGAATACCACCTATCAAAACATACATTTTACATCTGTTCATGCATTTAATTTTGTGTAATAATAATGGGGATAGCATAAATCATATGTATATATATATAATGGTAGCTCGTGTGCATATACAAGCATGCATATATATATAATAGAGAGATACAAATATATATTGTCGACAGTTATTCATTAATATATCACGTGTAATATGTTTTGAATTACGTGATATATTATTCATACAATTCATGTTCTTTATGAATCAAATAGGTTTTTGAATAGTGCGCTGTTCACCAATGGACAAACATAAGATTCTAGAATAATGTTGAAATAATTGAGTGTAATTAATGATCAGTTATTTGTCCTACAGTTCAGTAATAGCCATATAAAGTTATCCACCTGTGATTAACTTCATGAGAAATTTACGAAGTTCTGTTGAAAACCCTTGACTAATGTAGTTCAACTATATTGAATATGAGACAAGTATCACCGTTAACAGTGAATGGTGGTTACTCAATATTTTGGAATTGACTGAAATTAGAAATGTATTGATTGTTAACACAGTGGTCTGAAACTAAAGCATTTGTCATAAAGTATGAATATTTTGAGTTCAATCCCTAGTGGGATCGTAGATACACATTACAGAGAAATCCAATGGTGCAACGAAACACGTTCCCAGTATCTCTTAGTTTTTGTTGGTTGTCAATTCAAAGTTGATAATTGACGTCAACGACAAACTATTTAGACAGATCATCAATCAGGTAACTCTGGAGTCAAGTGTTTGGATCCAACAGAGACTCATGTCTTACAGTTTTCATACGTCAACTGTGTATTAATTAATAGACTGTTGTTAGCTTAATTTCATTGCAACTGAGCTGTACGTTTATTTAAGTTGTGGCTGTTTATAAATTGTTATGAATAGAAAATTGTAAATCTTTTTAAGATGACTCCTTTATTGTAATTGGTAACTTTTCAGCTGATTACGAATATTCTAAGGGAAGATATTCATATTGGCTGGTTAACGAGTAATTACAGCCATGGAATATTTTTTATGATAGATTTTGAAGACTAGGCTCGTTTCCATGAAATAAACATCTCCTAACTAAACAATATAGTGGTTCATCTTTTCCCGATGCTCAATCGCCATTTAAACCGTCCTTCAATATTGACATGTAAAATAGTAAATTGGGAAATACTGGAGACGGTTGGATCAATATATTGCAATTATCCGCTAAATCATTAACTGTTTGCAAAGAGCATGTTGTAAGGATATCTGTACTAATGATTAAAGACTTTTGTCTAGAGTTTGTCTATTCTCTGTCTTATTTTAAATATTTTACTATAATACCATCTCATACACTTTATTTAACAATTTCACATTTTAACGAAACAAATTCCTTATACTTACCCTTCATATCACAATTCACAATAATTTTATTTCAACTCCTTTGCTGTGTTTCGTGTTGATTTCCTCTAGTTGATATGGTTTGGCCACTTGAACCGATGCACAATTTTCTCAAGTTCTAACTTGTTTTGACCAATTAACTAAATGAATATTATCGTTATCAAAACGTTGACGCATTATTTGCAATGATTGGTCACCCAGTAGTGGTCAATGTAATATTTTATATTCCTTAATGCTGATTGAATTCTACTGAGCAAATTGTAGTGAGGTTACTAGTCTAAGTCACTCGACATGTTGCTCACTAAGTTTTGATTTAAAATGGTCGTAAATAGTTGAAAAGAAACTCTGAAACTAAGTTTCATGTTGCTTGACACTCATCAACGAAGTGAACCTATAGTCTTGAGGGAAGTGATTCTCCCCTTCGTATTTTAGTCTAACCTTAAAAGTTTTGGTAGTATTTATATACTATTAGTATGTTAACTTCTATGAGATCAGATTGGTAAACCTATAGGCATGAAACAATCAGTCTCCAGAACTGTATTTAATATTACAATATATAAATCAATAAAGGATACTGAGTATCGACTTAATTATGGTTAACGTCCATGAAAAGATTGTATTAAAGTATATCATTTTGTAGACTCCGTATCAGGGGTTTAAATTAATACAAAGCGTTCCCACCCATATAGAGATTCACATGAAAGAATAATTTTGAGTAAAAAATAAGTGAGTTCTTACACCAAGCATACTTCTATATGGATAGAAAGAAATAAGCTAAGTCTGTGAACTTTAAGTAAACTATGAAGTCATCTTATTATTAACCCTTTTGTTTTAGTATCCCCTTGAACAACTACACAAATGAAATGCTCTCTACTTTGTCTTAAAGACCTCAGTTATTTATTATTATTATTCACATATTAAGAACTGTTTACCATCTTGAAATGATGGAGAAAACTCGCAACATAGGTGTATGTTTGCAGTGATATCGAATCTTTTAGAGTAGATGTTTAATAAAGAACTTTTATTGTCATTCTGGACAATATCATAAGCGCTTACTTCATAATAAAGTGAGTCTCTTAGTCGTTTCATAAGCCGTTTGCTATCTGACAACATAATTATTTTTTATCTGTTAATATAAAGAATTTCGGTGATTAACAATCGGTTTCATGAAAAACATACAAGCTTCGAAAATACAGACAAAAGTCTAATACCTCATAATAGTACTTTTTGACAATTATACAATTTTAATAGTTGAGATCATGAGTCAATTGAAGCTAGACCAACAAGGAAAACATGGAAGCACTGGACTGCCGTTTCGTCCTAGTATGGGACTCCTCAGCAATGCGAATCCACGATCCCACCTCACGAGATTCGAATCCAAGACCTATCGTTTTTGCGCGCGGACGCTTGACCTCTAGAACACTGAGCCGGCCAGCATCCAATAGTATTAATATCCAACTTTAACTAATCCACGAAATTGAGCGACCCATCCACCATTTTCTTCAGTGAATTACTATCTCACAACAGATCCGAGTGAACTCCATTGATCATAGCTTCTCACTAGAACTCCAGGAAATACCTCTTGAAGCCAATCAATAGTAAGCATATGTTGATTAGTATCGGAAGGAAATTTTGTGGATATTATAGTAATTATACTATATTCAGCATTGACATAGGCATACATATATTTACAAAATAAATAAATTATTGTATTTATACTATATGATAATTAGTATAAATGTGTTTAAAAATTATTAAAAACAGTTAAGATATTTTTTAAAACTTCATATGTTGTAGTAACATGTAGATTTTGCATATTCCTTATCTCCCTAATTTATTTCGTCTCTTGCACGCATACACAGACCCACATTCTATCTTTACCGTTAGAACTATCTTATATGTATGAGATAATTAAATTGTAGTTGTTTAACATAACTTGATACATTTGATCCAATGTAACTATACAAAGCATACATTGAAATGAAAATAAATAGATACTATTTTATATTTCAGTAGATAAATAACTAACTCAATAAATTATGTAAATAATGAATATGTTAATTATGATTGGATGTAAATTGATTTGTTCTTTTTTTCTAAAAACAAACCAATAGATGTGGATGTGTCGCTCAATTTGGTGGATTAGTTGAAGTTAGATAATAGTACCATTGGATGCTGGCCGGCTCAGTAGTCTAGAGGTTAAGCGTTTGGCGTGAGACCGATGTGTCCTGGATTCGAACCTCGTGAGTTGGGATCGTGGATTCACATTGCTGAGGAGTCCAATACTAGGACGAAACGGCAGTCCAGTGCTTCCATGTTTTCCATGTTGGTCTAGCTTCAATTGACTCATGATCTC